TTTGCTCGAGGGTCCAACCGAAGTAAGTTGTTGTTGTCTTAATTGCAAGTTGATTTTCCAGTTTAAGACGGCCGATTGTCAAAATACATCAACGTCAAATCGATCGGCCGAGCTGACACGGAGCAATTATCAATTTCATTAAGTGGTCGCGGCGTGACTACACGTATATACGTGTATATTTTTGTGAGCGCTTGAAGAGGCTTGACCCAAGTCGAGGCAAATTCCCTCGCTCGCTCGCTCACCCATCCCCTTCCGCGTCGAGTGGCCGCGCAGACCCATATGGTCGGATAGGTTCTGTTTTGTGTCACGGAGACAGTCAGGCCAGAAAAGCGCTCGTTGTCGACACTCCCACTGTGAGCGAGCGGCCAGTTACACACAGTAATCTTGATTAAGTAAGGCCAGGGTAAAGAATCCCGTCTCATTGGCTTCGCCGGTGACGCGACGCGGCGCGCGGGAATAGTAATGTCTTTTTAATGGAACTCGCGGATTGTGTCGACGACGATAAAGCGAAATCCCCGCGTATAATTATTGCGCACGCACACGCACGCACGTCCGTGTGAAAGACAGCGGCCAATTTCACGTTTCACCAGCTCTCTCTCTGCTTTGTGATATATTATTCAGAAAACGAAAATGTATCCCTATTATTAAATGTTTCAACTATTTTGTGTAAAAACACGCGTTATATAATAGAATTATTAAACGTGCTTTGTTTGCTTTGTTTCCTTTTTAATTGAAATCATTTTTTTTCCCTATTAAGGCAGAGTATCCGCGAGTCGCAAAATATTTTGCGCGAACAACGTAATAATCTCCTACCGTAATTTTTTACCCACAGCTTTACGGCCCAATTTGAGACAAAATCGTAAACAAAGTCCGGTTTAGCATCAACTATGCACGTCGGATCGTCACACTCCCGTACTTTAGCACCGTAATACCCTAATAAATAAAACATTCGCGCCTGGGTGGAGGAGTACAGGCTGAAATTTTAATCATCGCAACGAATGAACGTTTTTTTCTTTCTCGATATAACGCATAAGACTCTCGTATCAATTGTGGGCGCATTTTCAATTTTCGGGCGGCGCGGCGTGTTCGGCGGCAGCCGAGTTTTCCGATAGAACGAACGGGGTCCGCGGTTGAAATACGGGAACCGCAGGCGGAACGTAATCCGGCAACGATATTTCGATTCTACGTCCTCGCGGTTTCGCGTAGGTGCAAAAAGCGTACTCGTTACCACGGAGAGAGGCGCGCCGCGTGCGAATGTCGGATTATAAATTTGAAACAGGATCGTACATCCTCGCTCGCGAGGGTATATCTTTTTGCGCGGTGGGGCCTGGCCCTGCCCTGCCCTGCCCCGGAAAAGGGATATACTGGATCGGTAAATCATCTCGACGTTGATGAGACAGGGTTCACTCTTTACACGTAATTGTGATTTTCTCTCAGGAAAATGTTGGCTCTAATATGCGCCCGATGCTTAACTCGTAATTGTGATTTATTGACCGCACCTTGGGGTCGTACATTTGACCGAGGCACGAAAACTCTAAGTGAGCCGCGTGGAACGGCGGGATTTTCGTAGCGGTATTGTTGCAGGATAATGGCGGTGTTAAATTCTAAACAAGCTATATATACCGCAGCACTTTTCCTCGAGTGAAGAGGAAGATACTAGTTTTTTTTTCGTGGCTATTTTATTTTTTATTGGATTATTGTATATCACAAAAGAGGCATGTTATGCGAGTTTTCGCTGTACTACGTATCCGTTATACTATTTCTTCTTTCGACTTTACACCCTCAGAAAGGATTTCTGTTACCGAGGCAAAAAATATTCTTGACGCATTCATATTTCTCACAATCCCATTTAGTATAAAAATAAGACAGTGTCAAAATAAAAGCAGTAATTCTTATTCTCCCCTATCGAATTAAAAAAGATTGACTTACTATATTGAGACTAAGAGTGACTTACATAAAAGTAACTTTATATATTCTTGCGTTTGGAATAAATTGTCCCTCCATTTTACAACGCACGAAGTTGGCACCACGATATTCGACAAAAGACGATACATATAATCATTTTATTTTAGATTTTAGAATTTTTCATTTAAGATTAAAGTATTCCTTTCTGTACGTTTGTGACACATATGTTTATGACACATTGAAGTGTAATAGCATTGCACCCGAAAATGTTTTCTATGGGTGCAATGCTATTATATTATATAGGTAATGTCTTACGTATTTACATGTTTAAAAACAATTCGGAAATTGTTTGACGGAATCGCATTTCTATAACTGTGTAAGTTTGCGAATTTAGATTACGTGTTAAAATACTGCTTAGGCCGCAGGCGGAAAAGGCGCGGTGCATTAAGATATTAATCCGCGAGTAAAAGGATTACTATGCGATTGATATCGCGATATTTATTTTTCGTAGATTAAAACTAGCGGAATATCGTCAAAACATATAAAAAGATAGAACGAATGCATCGGAGATAAATGCAGTAGGTAGATTTTTCGATGGGAGCCGCGAGAAACGCATTTATTCACGACGGAAGAATTTTATTAGGAAAATATTTATTCATAAGAACATTATTCTACATATGAAAATTACACTCGCTCATTAAAAATTCATCATCTTAAGAATTAACTCCGTTGAAATATTTCATTTACTTTTATTTTCGTACTTGTTTGCCGCGCTACTTATGATAATTACTTATCTCGCGTAAGTACATTCTGCGTCGGTCCCTGGCTTATTGCGATAATTCGCGGGAAAAAATCGCGACACTGTCGCGCATCCGATAAGTTAGATTTAATGCGTTTCGCAATCATCGATTTTTCACACTTGGACTCCGGCGTTTACTAAGTTCGTCCCCGATCGGAACCGACGTAATTGGAGAGAACTCGGAAGTTCTTGGTCTCTGTCCCCGCGCTACCATCCCGACTCTCCGTCTGAACTTTCCGTCATCCGCGAGACTCGCCGCGGTAGCTCTCCAATTGCCGCGGGAAAGGAAAGAGCGCATAATTAACGGGCTCTGCGAGCAAATGCGAGCGTGCTTTTAGCCGCGCGACCTTCTTTTCGGATCAATGTCTGAATTGCACCCAGTTAAAAATTTTGCCATGAAATAACCGGCTTATCTCGCTAGCCGCGCTATATTATTCCGCGTTTTACCGCGCGCATTGTTCTTAATTTCAAAGTGTAAAGTAACGTTGACATTTCTAGTAATCCTAGTTCGACTTTCAAATTAAACAAAAAAAAAATTTCTGAGGCGGAAACCTTTTTATCGCGAATTGTGGAGAGTGACAAGTATGAAATTATTCACGTTTCTTGAACACGTTTAATTATTATTACAGGCTGTTTCGCTTTTACAACGAACACACATTGTTCTACGTCGAGTATCTTGTTCTGAAATTTCTGTGCAGCATCGACATAAAAGTTAGTATTCAAAGCGGTACGCATGAATATTAGGTGAACATTGTCGTGTTGCGCAATAATGAATTGCTCTCGGTACAATATTAATTATTAGCCGTGCTGTATATTATTAATTAATATTTATGACAAATAACATTAATTATTGATGTTTAATGAGCCCAGAGTACAATGAAAAGTTGACATTGTGCATCTAGCCGTACACCACTTGGAGGGAGAGGTAAATCGCGTCGCGCTGGATAATTAATCCGCATCACTTATTCGGGCAAAACGCGCGTATGCCTCGCGCGCGCGTGTATATTAAGCTACCGTCTTTCACAGGAGTAAAAACATTCGTGTCGCACGCGCGATTAGATAACAACAAAGGTATATGCAATTAACGGTGTGCGCGAAAACGAGGGAACACCTGCTAGCGGCGTTCTCTCCTCACGAGGAAATTGTCCGATATATTCAGATTATACCATTTTAAAGCAGCTTACCCCTTTGCCTAATTATAAACCTTGTTTGAATTACCCCGTTGTCATCTTTTTCGTCGCGAACTTGTCTCTTGCACAAATGCGCTTTACAACTTTTACCCATTAAAGCTCGCGGGGAGAGAAGCCCGTCGCATTTTTACGACCTGTGAATGTGTGTTGATTTTGCTTTATACGACGCGATTCTCATTTCCGTGCCTGAGAAGAGGGGGGGATATGTAAACGGTATTTGTAATAAGAATGATATAAATCGGATTATTGTTTGCGTGTATCGAACATTTATATTAGCAACCGTGTAGCTCTATTAGGAGCAGCGAAATGAAGCATGAAAATATCTTCATTGAATTCATGGAAGTCGTGATCGCGAAAATGTTTTTCACATTTTGCATTTTAAACGATGAATATCTGGATCCGCGATCTCGTAATTTTCCCGTATAATCCGGAATTCCGCGAAGAAAAAAGATAATACGCGAGACGTTTAAAACTTTTTTCTCCTCCCCCTCCCCTTTATATAAGTTCGAACTTGGCAATATCAAGTGCTTGAATCTTTTCTCACAAGAGAGAAAAGAAGTTATCTCTCTCAGGAGGTACGGCATCTACTTGAGGAACTTGAGATATTTAAGGAAAGTGGAGAAGTGAAAAAACGGGGACGAGGGGAGGGGGACGATAATAAATATTGTAGCAGCGGTACGATCGGGGATAAATATGGTAATCGTGGCGATAACGGCGACCGCGATAATGACGATAATGAGGAATAAGTGGGCGGCGACGTGCGCGAAAAGGGAGAATCGATGCCCGAGAATGCTCGTGGGTCTACGAAGGAACGGATTGGTAACTCTATTATTCGCTCGTCTCGCGTTCAAAGGCGATTCGGTATGAATTATAAAAAAAAAGGGGGGTAATTCCGCTAAAATGCGCCCTCGGTCCGCACCGCGCGCGCTGCAGCAACAGCGGGGGTTTGAGGCCGGCCGCGAGACAGCGGGGGTGGTTGCGCGCTGCGCGATACGCGCCGCGGCGCGACGCGGCGCGGCCACCTCGGCCACGCAGTTCGTCGACGAGCGTCGCACTGTGTGTCCGCGCCGCGCGTCTCCTCTCTTTCTCTCTCGCCGCCGCCGCTTTGTTCCGCAAAGTTGACAAGTTTCGCGTTGACAGCAATTGCGCTTGGCGTCGGGCGCGATGCTCCGCGAGGGCGAGAACGCCAGGGCGGCAGGCTAATTCGATCGCGCGTCTCTCCGACGTTTCTTCATTTCTCCTTTCTCCTCCCGACAAGCGGATTAAATTTTATCTCTTCATCCGCGATAGCGAGGGAATCTCGCGCATTTTTTTGTCCCGCGGTCGATAATAGGCCGCCGTGCCGGAGGTGTCGCGAGTTGGCGTGTTTTGTCGGGGACGCAACGCTCCACGCACCGCTCGCGTTTCCACGCGTCGGCCGTGCTGTCGATAAAAATCTTCGTATCAATGGAACGTTATACCGCGATCCATCGGTCCGCGGGCATCGACTGATTTCCCGGCGTGCCCGGGCGAGATCGTTTTTGCGACTTTACGTCGCCCGTCACTTTTCGGTATGAAGTTAACTTAAAAAATTTCAAGTTGTCACATCGACTCCGCGCGGAGCTTCGTATGAGCGCATTACTAAGTGAGTAACGATGCACTCTTATCAATTGCAACGGGGAAATTGCAGTAGAGATAAAATAGGCAAAGCTCGTTGTAATTTACTTCCCGGGTCTCCTTGCTGAGATGCCATTTACTTTGAATGATCTAACTGTAAGATTGTGTTTCCGGCGCCCAGAAATTAAGAAGCCGAACTCCGAGAAGGAAAAATCCGCGGAAACTTTTGAATTTGTCTGCCTGCACTCGTTTAACTCGCCTTTTCACTCCGGTTTGTATTTCGGGGAATAAAAGAGTATATTTACAATATCGTATTTAATACAGCGTCTAGCGCTCGATTATGAGATAATTCAATTTTCTTAACGTCATTTGACCACTTTGCTCTTCGTTTCTATGTGAAACGAACTTGGAAAAGCTTTGAAGCTACTGCTACTTGTATTTTCGCAGCTAGCCTAGGGGGGTAACTTAGTTATTTTTTTGAGATATTGCCTCGAAAAGTTGTCTCGAGACGCAACATTATTTTCCGAATTATATTTAATTTCCTGCGGTAAAGACTTAAAAATTAAAAACAAATAGACACAAGTGTTCGCAAGTAAAAATATTAATGCAACGTTGGATTCTGTAGACTTGAGAAAATTAAACGTAAATGTAACGTGGATGAACCTACACTCACAAAAAAATGTCCGGATCCAATGCTGTTACACTTCAATGTATCATAAAATATATTGATATAGCGCTAATCATATTTATAATAGAGAAAGGAATACTTTAATCTTAAATGAAAATTTCTAAACTCTAGAATAAAATGATGGAGGGAAAATTTATTCTAAACGCAAGAATATCTAAACTTACATCTATTTAAGTTAGTCTTGTCTCAATATAATGAGCCAATCTTTTTTAATTCGCTAGAGGAGAATAAGAATTATTAATTTTATTTTGATAAAGTATAAATGTATCAAGAATATTTTTTGTCTCGGTAACAGAAATCCTTTCTGAGGGTGTGATTTTTGACGAGGGGTATATTTTTCTTTTAGTCTAAATTCAATTCGCTCAGTTCTAAGATTAATTTCCGAAAGTTTTTAACACGCGAATTGAACGACTGTTACGGAAAACCTTTCAATTGCAAGAGTTGTTTACATGAATTATGCATCGAATCACATTCTGCATGTATATACGTGTAGACGTAAATTACTGTCCCATTCGTTTCCACACGTAGATGCTCAGCACGGGATTACACTACTTCAAATCACGTTACCGTGCGGTAGACAGCTCTCGCAAGCTTGATGCAGAACTCGGAATTGTATCATCGAAATAACTTTACCAAGTTCGATAGAGTTACGATTCTCGGAGAGCGTATCTTCGCCTACCCGCTACGTCGTGTAATGGTACTTATCATTATATGCACGAGTACCTATTGCGGATCGTCCGCGTTAATACGTTACTCGAAGCAGTTAAGGGATCGCTCCTTTGAACGGTATTCTTTAGGTAGAATTAAATTTGTCCTGGTGATTAAAAGAGTTGAAGCACCGTGGTCGCATAAACGTGCTTATTGAAAATCGAGCTTATTTATATTAAAAGGAGAAACTCTTAAAACATGGAATATGTATTGAATATAAATGTATAAATATGGGAGAAAAATCGCCTATAGTTTTTGCTTATGGTCGAGCTTACTTGACTTGAACTTGTTACGCGAGCACCCCAATTTATTTCCTCTTATATTATCGGAGAGGGAAACGCGCGGGTTTTTCATTTTGTAAACGTTATAATCCGATAGGTGCAAGGATGAATTGAACTCGAGTAACTCATTAGTAGTTGGTGCGTTAAAATTTGTCCGTAGAAAGGAAGGAAACTCGAATGACTGGAGAACTGGGAATTTTCGGAGCTTCCGAAACTCTGTCATTGAATTAAGCTCTAAATTGTATCCGCGTTCGCGCACTACGCCGGAATTGGAAGTCAAACTGACGTTCGCGGAAACGAAACTGAAACGCACAGCCGCATTCGGAGATTATATTTCCGGAGTTCGTCCGTCCGAGGAGTGCACCTTGAATCGCGATATGTACAACTTTGATGAGCTAGGAAATAGAGACGAGACAAGTTAGTCTCCCTGCGGAGCGCGCACCGCCTCTGCGGAGAAATCGCGCCGGGCGATTTTACACGATACGAAAATTGTCTGTTCTTTGTACGCGAAAACTTCATTTTGTTATGCATATTTTACGCCGCTGAGAAGGCCGATTACGTGACGAGGGGACACGTTTGGCATTTTAGAAATTCAACTCGGACTTTTTTTCCCCTTACACTTTCGCGTAGTTTGGAAATTATTTTAAAAGCGACGTAGCATACGTGTGTAAAAATGCGACTAAAATGACGCAATATTGATAAGAATAATAAATTGAAATAGTGTCGTGTAAGAGCAGAATGCGATGTAAACTAAATAGAAAAATTTTTCATAGCTCGCGGATATACAATAGAAAGGACCTTCACTCTTTTGCGTAATATTAACGTTGCGGCTGTTACGGGTATTTCGAGAGCGGAGGAAAAAAATGTTGAAAACCGCGTCGCGTAGACCTTTATAGACCTTTAACCCAGACCTTTTTTTCCTTTTATTTTGTCAAACGTGACAATTTCAGAGGGAATGTTTAGAATATTCGGTGGAAATATTTTCAGAGAAGGATACCGCGGGGACGCGTTATAAAGGAGACGGAGTCGGGTTATAACTTCCAATAAAACGTGCGGGTTCTGCAAGACCCGTTGTTTCCGCGAGCTGTGAAATTTTTACGCCTTACGGATGATTACGAGCGCGCAGTATTGCCGGCGTTTTCACGGAAAGAATCGCCGGGCTGGGCGATAATGGCGCGTGAGGAGCGGTCGTTGAATCTGATTTTCCTGTTTAGTCCCGCTCGCCACGGGGAACGTCCTTGCCCAGCATCCCGCCGCCGCGAAATTACCGTTCGTTCTCTCCCGGCTACCTTGGCTTCCACGTGCAACAGACGAATCGTAAATTCCACGGTCGACAGCCAAGACGCTCGAAAGACCCACTTCGTCCCCGCGGCGCGGTCTAATTCATTCCGAGTCGACGGGGTATACACCGTAGCGACGACGGGGCGCGAATGCCGCGAATTGCATTTTCAATTAAAAACCCGTTTATCGTCTCGCTCGTCAAACTCGCCCCACTAACGCCTCGCTAACGTTGCACTAATTTGTGGCGAGTTTTCACCTGCGGAACGGTGAGATCAGAAATTAAGTTGCACGTGAGGCATATTACTCGTCGATACTTGTATCAATGATCTTGATATAATTCTCGAAGAGAGTGCCAAGGGGGTGGCCACTAGCTAAAATGTTGTCCCATCGATTACACCATTATATCTCATACGATTTCGTCCGATTACAAATAATTTCGTCTAATTGCAAATAATTTTCTTATGTGCACGTATAAAAATAGGCGACGTTGTTGAGAGCTGTTAGATTTCCTCAAAACATTATATCTCTTTGATTTTACTAATAAGTATTTGCTTGTAGAGGTAATTTCAATTAAGATGATAGTATTTGGTTAGGTAGAAAACGTGTTTCCTCGCTTGCCACTTTCCCCGCCGGCCTAACCGTGGTCTTAGCGACAAGTAATTTTGTATTTGTATCTACTGTTTACTGTTCTAAATTTGCGCGCAAAGGTGTATCAACTCACTGTTCTAACGGCAACTACTTCAGTCTTAGTATGAAAAAAATAATACGCGCTTATAGGCGTGAACTATGGTATACGAGGGTGAGTCAAAAATTATCCGCACTTTTTGTTCTACAATTTATTTACACAAAAATAGGGGTTTAATATGTACGTCATTTTTCAACATAGTCTCCTCCCTTGGCAATGTACTTGGTCCAGCGGTGCCACAAGCTTGCGTATACCTTCCGAGAAGAAGGTTTTCGGTTGGTCGCAAAGCCACTTTTCCACCGCTTCCTGCACGTCTACGTCTGTAGAAATTTGACGACCTCGCAAAGCATCCTTGAGCGACCGAAACATATGAAAGTCGGAGGGAGCAAGATCTGGGCTTGCAGGAAGCGGTGCAAAGTGGCTTTCTTCTTGGAAGAAATACACCTTCTTCTTTGGAAGCAATACTCAAGCTTGTGGACCGCTGGACCAAGTGCATTGCCAAGGGAGGAGACTATGTTGAAAAATGATGTACACATTGAACCCCTATTTTTGTGCAAATAAATTGTAGAACGAAAAGTGTAGCTAATTTTTTACTCACCCTCGTATATTTGGATATTCATTGAAAGAAGTAAATTTGTTGGGAAAAATGAAAACGAATTGAGAAAATGTTGAAATTTAATGTCTAACAAGTGAGAAAATTGGAAAATGAAGGCAAAACGATTACATAGAGATTTCGTGAGGATTTCATAATGATTTCGGAGACACTGCCCTACGATTACATCAAGGGCCAGTTTCACGAACGTCGGTTAACCGCTAACCGAAGGTTAACTGATTGCCTCTTCTTAGATAATAGGATAGAAAAAGATAGAGGGTCGACCGAACTCTGGTTAACAGTTAACCAACATTTGTGAAACTGGCCCTAGGTGGTTACCCCCTTGGAGTGTGCACTCTCTGGAAGCCACTCGGTGGATTATCTCACCGATCGCAGTTATAAGGATAGCAGTGCGGGACCGCGCGGTGACTATTCGCTAACGTTGCGCTAATTTGCGTCGAGTTTTCGCTCAGGCGGAACGGCAAAATCAAGAATTAAGACGTTGCGCGTGAAAAACATACTACTTGCCAACGCTTGCATCGATGATCTTGATACAATTCCCGAAGAGAGTGCACTCTCTGGAAGTCACTCGGTGGATTATCTCGCCGATCGCAGTTATAAGGAATACCGGTGCGGGGCCGCGCGGTGACTATTCGCTGCCTTCCAGTGATGACCCGTGGACTTTAAGAGGGCACTTTATCGCGGGCTTAGCTACGCTTTTCACGCCCCTTAGAGCGAGAGACTGTTTTCGCTGTCCCACCGTGATCGAGTGCAGGGCAGTGTGAAGGGTTGAAAATTAGAAATAAAGGAAAAGTCTCGTGCGGTAAGATCCTTCATTCTGCCTCGGCTCGTTTATCCACTGGCTGCGTGCACTCGCGGTATTACGCACGCTGGTTGCACTTTTTCCATAGGTGTTTTTAACTTTCATCCTATCTCTACTCCGCCGCGCGCGCATACGTACGTACGTATGTATGTGCGTTTTATCGTAGTATGAAAATTGATGGAATACGACACTGTAAGCCGCGTCTGTACCGCATAATAATCGAGCCCGATAAAAACCTGTTGAATTGGCTTGATTCCGCGACCAAGTTACTCGCGCGTCCTCGCGCATGTAGAAAAATACCGCAGGAGGGAGAAAAGATGTTGCCTCATGAAACTTTTATCGAGGGTGGACTCGGGCCTAAGTGGACCGAAGAGGCCAGCGGATGAAAACTAGCGCGGTGGCTCTCGGAGAGATGTCCCGTGCAATTTACTCTCGCCCCCTTTCTTTCATTAAGTCGATTCAGGCCGGCCGGTTCTGGACCCTGCACGCGTCTAAATTTCGACGGTCTCCCCGCCACGCCCCGGGAAAGCCGACTTGGCCGACGTTTTCGCGAATTACGCCGAAATCTAATTTGCGCGCCTCGCTATCCGGGCTTTGCATGCCAAATTGGATAGCCATCAACGCGCGCTGTCGCGCAAAACCGTCGCCGGCTACGGGGAGACGTGGCCACGCGGCAAGGCGTGTTCTCTCATTTCCATAAATTGATATGCACTTCTGCTCGCCCTGTGTACGAGTTGTCGCGCCGCGTCGCCCCGTAAACGCGGCAACTCGTTTAACCATCTTGCGAGGCGCACGTTATGTACGGTGCTCCGTTTATATCCGAAGAGAATATTCGGTCGCCCGAGTAAATTTCTTCAGTCAGGGAGCAGAGAGAAGGCGGGGGGGAAAAAGGCGGAAAAAGAGAGCGCGACACACGTGAACGCTCAGTTTTGTATTAATATTTTACAAGAGGGAAATAGAAATATTCCGGATATACGTAATAAAATATCTACGTACGTGCATAAAATATAATCTCCGAGTTTTTTTGCGGACGAATTAGAATATTTTTTTCCGAATGCTGAAAAATGTATCGAGCATGTGGGAATTTTTGAGTATCTTTTAAAATACACTTTTGGTTTATTCTTTTGCGTTACATTTTAATTATCACATCGATACTGTTTGGAAATTAAAATTCGCACATTTGGCACGCGATCGTACATTCGATTCCCACGATACGAAAATATGCGAAACATCTGCAAAGCGTGAGCAAACAATTAAGTGCGCGACTGCCTCTGTTTTACCTAGTATATTATTCTTAGCTAGAGATCGCGTGAAAATAGAGTAGATTCGTGATTCTTAACTCGATTAGTACCTGTCGCAGCCTCCATTGATGCGTTGCTATTATTAACTCTCTCCGCGCTATATTCAGGCGTCTTTGCTCCGAATATTGTTGGAACGTTTTCACTGATTATTGACTATGTGAGATATATAATATTTGTTTTAATAACACAGTGTCCTCTAAACATTAGTAAAATGTATCGTGAGTCGCGAAAATCAAATGGCACGTTTAATTGCATTCCAGCAAAGTATAAATTTCGAATGTTGTATTTCTTTCGATTTATTTCAATCTTGAGCAAAAAAAAATCACAATTGAAAGGTTAAACTTCAATAGGAATTTTGATGAAATTTTAACAGCGTTTTCTCTCGAAATTTTGTCCGCGACTCTTAGCGAAGCGACGTCGACGTAACTTCGTTCTTCGGCCCCTAAGATAGAGCCTATTCTCGCGCCTTATATTCCCACTTTACAAACGAGGAGCGAGAGAATTATCGGGTCACGGGACGAGGCATGGCAAGAGAGACGGGTCTCTCCCTCATCCTCAGTGCCGAACTTGAAACACCGAATCGTAATATCGAAAAGATTTCGAATTTCCAGCGCAGCCAAACGCTCCTCCCAACGCGGCTCATTTTTCATTCCGCATCTTTTGCGGAAAAGTCCATAAATCCGGTCTCATATCGATTTCGCGCGGCATCAGCTCGCGTCTTTTACAGAGAAAACGAAAGAGTCGTAGATTATTTGACGTTGAACATCGAGGAGAATGAACGAAAGCTCAGATTATAATAAAGGCCTGATGATAAGGGACTAAAATAACTGCGAGTTCCTTTGAGATACGCTCCGTATCTATAATATCTATAGAAACGCTCCACTTTTCTGTCCGATCGCAATCGAGTGACAGGTGCCTCCTGGCAACTCTCAAGTAAATCTTTAACGAAAATTGAGATACGAATAGTTTTTGTTAATTACAAGCGATGAAATTGCCAAGTTATTTTTTAATTACAAATTGTTCAGTTGCGTCCTTTTCTAAACTTGAAGTGACTTCCCCCTTTTTTTTGCTTTAATAAGATATTAATTTAGTTTCCAAGGTACATGGACATTAAAACTTGAAAATTAGCAAAAGTTCCGAAACTGGCTTGTCCTGTCGCGATAATTTCATTACGGAAAAATCAGATCTTTGTCAACGATAATATTGAAATATTATTCGTGGAGCAAAAACTTTTTGCTCCCGACGTTTCGTTACGAACGGCGGGCTCCGCCGATTTAGCACGATTGCGAAATTAGCACAATTGTAATGATCGAGAAGCAAGAGTCGAACGCGCGCTTCTTTGGTGCCACTTTGCTAAATAGTCGTACGCTTTATTCGACATAAAGCTACAATATGGACGCATAAAGTCGTAATGTGAAGATTGAAAAGTGACGCGATATCTGTGCCTTTATCTATCTCTGTACGTATGGTTCTGCGCGTTACGTGCATTACGGGGGCGATTCGATACGCTGCCGTCCTGAATCTTTAAAGCGCTACGTGTCGATTCGTGTCAAGTGGCTTATAAATGGAAAGCAACGTACTACACTCGCACCGTTCGATGGCGGATTTATCGATAGGCGGTCGCTTAGGACCTTTAAATCTCGAGGGGTTGCCGCAAATTATTCTGCGGATCTACAATTGTTCTACAAGATGCAGGAAGGACCGTACGCTCACATTTAACTGAGAAAACGTCGATTGTATCTAAAAAAAATTTTCCAGTATTTATTAACAATTGTTTACTGTTTAAAAAAAAAGAGATATAAAATATCATTGACATAAGACGTCACTAATTTCTCGATTACTAAAATTGTTAAAACAAAATGTAATCCGACGAGGTTTTTTAGGAAGAAATTATTACATAAAGGCATTATGTAACGTGAAATATTATCATTTAAAGTATTTTCCTTTTTCAATTAACGAATTGCTTGCTTTATGATAAATTCTGCAGTGTTGAGCGTACGGATAGAATAGCAGATAATATTCATTTGCTTTGAGTAAATATCGCGTTATCGCCGGTGCGTCAGTCACCAATCGCTAATTACGAAGAGCATACCTTTAATTACAGGATTAAATTAACGAGCATACCTTTAATTATGCGATTAAATTAAATTGGCAAATTCCTAGAAATGGCGAAAAATAACGAAGCCAGTGACAGGGTAAAATTTGTTCTATCTCGCAACGTTTTTCATTTAACATTTTAATGCGAATACCGTTCTTCGGTCGGGACAGGCTCCGAGTGAGAAAAATTTACCGATAAAACGTTTCTAATTTGTGTTTTTTTTTCTTACAAATGGCGTTTCTACAATAGTTTAAAACGTAAAGGACGTGCCTTTTTTATCTCTGCTGAAAAAAAGAGTGTTTGAGAACTAAAAAATATCCCCCGAATTTGGAGCGGCTTGTAATCTCTAAATTCATCCTGTGACAAATATATTTTTTGGGGGGGAATACCGGCCCTGGTGAAACAATACGCTTGCGATTTTGTCAACGCGACACCGTATTTCTTTTTCAAAGCCGCCGTTATCACCGTATCGCATCTGTGAGAGTGTGTACGAGGGAGAGTAAACGGGAACGTTTCCGACACAACGTTGGTTTTTGCATTAACGCGAATCGCGTAGAAGCGAAACTTGGTCGAGCGTGCGGTTTTGCTGGCTGGTCCATGCCACTGCGAGGATGCTGGCGTGCGTCTATCCGCGAGAAAACTTCGAGGTGAAAACCGTGGCGGTAAAGCTCCATCACGGGAAATCCAAGAGGAAGTCCAAGTCCGTGCCGGTGAAGGAAAAACTTCCTTCGGACGCCGCAGAGACGGAATGCAACAACGGCGTGCGTGTAAGCAGCGAGGTAAGGTTCTAATCCGGTGCGCTTCGCCGTCTCGCTTTTCGCTCCGCCGACGCGGAGAGAGAGACTCGCGCATGTATGAATAAATACTTGGGAGTTGAGAAACAGGCTGTTCGACTATTCTGATTGTGCATTATTAAAACGCGCTAGAGACGCGATTAGAAACGCCCAGATTCATCGAATTTGCCGCTGGACATTCTTCGGAAACTTTGAACGCTCTGTGGCAATCCACTTAAAAGTCACGCCGCGATCAAGTTGATCGAAAAAAAAAACCCATTTACATGTTGCAACATTATTTAAAACGTATGCGTCAATTTCGCGCGTCGTTAAAGCTTTATGGTTCAAAACTTGTAGTTATTCCAGTCTTAATTAAAACGCACGCATGCCTGAAACATTTCAGCTGCGCTGGGACGATTGGGTAAATATTGCGGAAAATTGTCCCACTGAATCCTCCGTATTTACATTTTTATCAGTGCACCATATACACTCTCGCTTAAGCGAGTGTAATCTCCATAATTGCAAGCTTGCTCTCTCTCCGCTTAAGTCCAGCTATTGTACTTTCTACACTACTATAACGTTTTCTTACTCTCCTTTGTAAAGCGTATACTTATTTCCTTTTAATCAGAAAGCAGAAAAAGATGCTGTGCTATATAGGAAAAAGCAGGCCCCTCGTTAGTTTCATTTATTACTTTATTCCACAGTCCCATTAATCTTCTCTCTCTCTCTCTCTCTCTCTCTCTCTCTCTCTCTCTCTCTCTCTCTCTCTCTCTCTCTCTCTCTCTCTCTCT